CACCCCAAGGAATTTGGTAAAAAGCATGGTAAGTATTTTGCAGATATAAATTTTTTGCCACATGTTTTTGGAAAATGAAGAAAGAAAACAAAACATATTTTTTCTATTCTTTTTTATATTTCAAAACCTTGTGAGAAAAAATGAGATCTGCAAAATACTCACCATGCCTCTTTGTAAATTCCTTGGGGTGTCTACTTTCCAGAAAGTGGTCATTTTGGGGGGGGGTTTGGTGCTACCCTGACATGTCAGGGCCTTCAAAACTGTGATAGGTAGTGAGGAAGTGAAATGAGAAAGTTACGCACCTTCAGGCTTTCAAAGTGGTCATTGGATTTCAGGCTCCTGTAATTGTGTATTTGTGTATGCTCACAAAAAGTCTCACACATGTGGTATCCCCATACTCAGTTAGAAGTAGCAGAATGTATTTTGGGGTGTAATTCCACATATACCCATGGCTTGTGCGAGAAATAAATCATTTAAATGACAACTTTGTGTAAAAAAAAAAAAATGTTTTTGTCATTTTCCAGAAACTTGTGGAAAAAAATAAATCTTCCATGGACTCAATATGCCTCTCAGCAGATAGCTTAGGGTGTCTACTTTCCTAAAAAGGGGTCATTTGGGGTGTTTGTACTATCCTGGTATTTTAGCACCTCAAGAAATGTGATGGCAGTCAGAGAGTAAAAGCTGTGTAAATTGCAGTATCTATCCCATAGTTTGTAGACGCTATAACTTTCACACAAAGCAATCAATATACACTTATTGGGATTTTTTTTTAACCAAAAACATGTAGCAGAATACATTTTGGCCTAAATTTATGACAAAATTTTAGTTTACTATATATTTTTTATGACAGAAATGAGAAAAAATTGTTTTTTGGCAAAAATGTTTTTTTCTCAAAACTTTTTTGTTTATAGCGACAAAAATTAAAAAGCACACAGGTGATCAAATACCACCAAATTAAAGCTCTATTTGTGTTAAAAAATGACATAAACTTCATTTATGTACCGTATTACATGACCGCTCAATTGTCCGTTAAAACTAGCGCAGTGCTGTATAGCAAAAAAAAATGGTGTAAATTGCAGTATCTATACCATAGTTTGTAGACGCTATAACTGTCCACACAAAGCAATCAATATACACTTATTGGGATTTTTTTTACCAAAAACATGGGAGCAGAATACATTTTGGCCTAAATTTATAACTAACTTTGAGTTTACTATATATTTTTTATAGTGAAAGTAAAAAATATTGTTTTTCTTCAAAATTTTTTGTCTTTTTTTTGTTTATAGCGTGAAAAATAAAAGCGCACAGGTGATCAAATACCACCAAAAGAAAGCTCTATTTGTGTGAAATAAAGGACGTAAATTTTGTTTAGGTGCAGAATTGCACAACCGCGCAATTGTCAGTTGAATTAGTGCAGCGCTGAGTAATAAAAAGAGGCGTGGTCATTAAGGGGGGTAAATCCTCTGGAGTGCGAGGGGTTAATCAGTCTATGAAAAGGATCATCTTATCTATTTGTAGAATGTAATGCTTTCAGGACCCATGTACGGGCAAATACATAGACATCTTTAACTGCTTCAAAGCACAAACCTTTCATAACAGAGAATCCTCAAACCCTCAGAAAGAAGAAGAATCTGAGCAGCAGAGAGGGTCACTTTGGAAAGGTTAATGATGTAAAAGTCACTTTCATCTATTGTTTGTCCATCCTGTGTGTATCTTCTTCTATCCCCTGTCTCTTGGGGTCTCCCTGTCCACTCTGTGCTGTGTGGTTACCCCCATTTGTGGAAAACCTCCCTCCCCCTCCCTTCCCTTCCTATTCCCCCTCCTTGACTAAGATCCCTTCCTTTACCCCCCCTCCCCTCCTCAATACTCCCATTTTTTGCTAGTGATCCTAAAACACCAACTTGGTCCTTATGTGCAAAAAATAAATGATGTGACTGGAATGAAGCTCCTTTAACCATTTGCTGACAAGTGGCATATGTGTACATCACTTGACTTCAAGCGGTTGGATGGAGCCACAAGGGATTCCTTGCCACGTGTGGCAGAAAAGAGCTGTTCTTTAAAATGATTATATTGCAGTTTGGCAATTACGTCCCAAAGGGGACCATTGAATTGATGAGGTGTGAGGGCCCTGTGGACCCTGTCCATTTCCAGATGATGGTTGCAATGGAGGGTGCCAGATCTTGAAAAGGAGCAGCTACTTTGGTCTGTACATCTGTGATGGTCATTAGTATGAGGAGGAGGTTAGAGTACTGGGCCCTAATCTTGAAGTCCTCCCGGCAAGACTGTAGGATGAGATTTTCCTCCCTGAGGGCCTCAAGCTCATCTGTATGGTTGTGAACAAGGGTGTCCAGATCATCAACCCGTATCTGGAGTTCAGCTGTGCCCTGTCCTAGCTCTCTGATTTCCCAGGATAGCCAGTCTGTAATTTGTTCTGAGGTTGGCTTCAGAGCCTTTATGAGCATCTGCTCAAGTTGCTTAAGCAAGTCAGGGTGAGTGGGATCTGATTGAAAAGCCAGGGGAGAGGTTCCCAGATCAGTATCAGACTCTTGGAATAGATCTTTGTGAGAACCTCCCAGATGGATTTCAGCTTGGGTTTCTGTGTGAAGGTGGCATACACCATCCTGGATTGTCTGACACCAGCTCTGGGGTGTCAGGAGGCCGCCGGTGAGTGTGATCACTGAGTGGTGCGGAGCCTCATGTAGACATGACTAGTCCAGAGGGCCTTGTGCATGCGCCTCCGGATAGATAGATATTTTTATGCTTTAGGATTTATTTTTGTGTTTTCGTCACCAAAAAGGTCAATTTGAGGGGTTATCTATTCTATTATGAACTAAATACCTTTGTTTGTAACTTGTATTCTGTGTCTTTAAGACTTTTCTATATGTAATAAAATATCTTTGTTAAATAGTTGGTTGCATAAGAGCTAGATTTATTTTTTCTCAGTTATTTTTTAGTTATTTTTGATCTTTCATGGAAGCCACAGGAATGGTTATTTTAATGTTTCTCAGGGATGCCGTTCCACTGAACTCCACAAGGTGGTGATCTCAATTCTACTCAGACAAGAAGTTATTATGGAACACAGACAGGAAGTGATGTCAGGTACAGACAGGAAGGGTTGTCAGGTACAGACAGGAAGTGATGTCAGGTACAGACAGGAAGTTACATACCATAGTAAGCTGTGAATAGACATTGGTGGAAGTGGCAGCAGAGGAGGTAATAAGATGTTATTTCCTATTTACACCCAGTAACCCCCCCATCATGTCCATCCTCTTCCTCCATAGTCACGTCCGTCCTCTTCCTCCATGGTCATGTCCGTCCTCTTCCCCATAGTCATTGTGACATCTTTTATCTCCAGCAGATGATGATACACACATATATAGTGTGGGAACCCAGATTAACCCCTTCAGGGGCAGAACATTCCCCCACTTCGGGGCCGGAACATTCTCCTCATTGTGGAGATAAATTCTAGTAATATGGTCCTCTAAACAAACAGCACTGACAATAAATAGACAAGACAAGGACCATCCTGACCATACATGGCCTACAAAGGGCAATGATGACACTACACAGGCAGCCAATGGGCAATCATTACACTATGCAGCCAACACAATGATGGAGTGCGGGGGTCAGGAGTATGGAGCATAGAGCCCCTTACATTGCTGCTCAGGAGGGAAGAAAACATTCCCCAGCCGGCCATGAAGAATATGTTCCATCATTGGTGTCAGAGGGAGGGAAAATACTGAGGGGTCTGAGGGAAGTAGAGGAGCTGAGGGGGTCTCTCATAGGTTACTTAGGATGAGAGACTTTGGGGCTCCTGAGGGGGTAGTGGAAATCAGCTTTTAGGGGGTAGAGGAAGTGGGGAGCAGAGCTCTGAAGAAAGAAAAGTTTGTCAGGCTCAGGGGACAATAAGGTAGGGAGGGGATGCTCTTGGTCTGTGATTGTCCTCTTACCTGCACTTACTTTCCAGACCTCCTTACAGAACTCCTACCAGGAAAGGAAGACAACCTTCACCTTCTTACCATCTCACTGGTCAAATAATATATTCAAAGATACCAAGTGGAATGAAGAAGGACAATCCTTCACCCCTTGGTGGACACTTATTCTTAGAGGAGGTCTGTTGGTGCATTATCGACTAAAAGGTAGTCAGGGGTCAGTGCTGAACATCTTCAGGAGACACTCCAATACCTTCCCATGACACAGGCTCTGGCAGTGCCCGGTGCTGGAATTCAGAGCCCCAGGAACCCACCACCACTCTGTACAATGTCCTGGATACTACAGTATACTTGGTAACCAAACTCCTCCCCCTGCTCTCCTCCTTCTACCCACACTAGGCTGTCATTGGAGGGAAGAGAACAGACTCCTCCCCACTGCTCTCCACTCCACCAGCATTCTCCTGCTATCTAATCCAATATCTTCTCTTACTGCATAGAGTGACAGTGACATCACTCCTGTCAGTCAGCAAGGAGATTTCTGATATGGTGGGTCAAGAGGGTCTCGGGTCCTCCTAAATGTAAGAAATATTAAACAGTTCAGACTAAATGTGTTCCCATGGGAGCAGTATTTCTTCAATGTCCATCAACCCTCCAATTCCCCCCTCACATCCACATCCTATTATTGTGTGACCAATACCATCCAAATCATTCTTACTTTCATTTCCCAAAGTTATCCGTCTACAAGGAGACCTGTATAGATCACATGATGGCACCAATGAGGATGGAGGAGGACCGGAGTCACATGACTGAGAAGATACTAAACCTCACCCTGGAGATCATCTACCTGCTGACCGGAGAGGTGAGGAGGATTCTGGGAGGTCACATGACATCACCCTTATCTCTATTAATAAAACACAGACCTCACCGGAGAGGTGAGGAGGATTCTGGGAGGTCACATGACATCACTCTTATCTCTATTAATAAAACACAGACCTGACCGGAGAGGTGAGGAGGATTCTGGGAGGTCAAATGACATCACTCTCATCTCTATTAATAAAGCACAGACCTGACCGGAGAGGTGAGGAGGATTCTGGGAGATCACATGACATCACTCTCATCTCTATTAATAAACCACAGACCTGACCGGAGAGGTGAGGAGGATTCTGGGAGGTCACATGACATCACTCTTATCTCTATGAATAAAACACAGACCTGACTGGAGAGGTGAGGAGGATTCTGGGGTATCACATGACATCACTTATGATGGGAGTGACTTTGGGTGGGGGGCCTATGAAACATAGCCCCCTTTGGAGAAGTGGGGAGACCTCTGTCTCAGCTCCCCATATTCCTATTATGTGTAAGTCACCCTGTGCCTGTTAGGGGTACAGGGTGATCTGTCCTGATATTGTGTAGACATCTATAGGTGGGGTGTGGGGGTTGTTCATTGTTGACTGCCATGTGGTCCCATTGTTTTATTGTGTGTCCTGCTTGGGAACAAACTATTATGGGATGTATGGGTTCGTGTATTGTCTACTGCCAAGTGGTGCATCCCATTGTTCTATTTTGTTTCTTGCTTGGGAGCAAAGGATTATGGGATATATGTGATTGTACTGGCTTGGTGAGGGGGGTTTTTTCTGGCAGCCCTTCCCCCTGATAGGATGGCCTGCTGATGTGTTTCCTGTTACTGGGTGTATTTCCCCGCCCTGTGTATATATCTTGTATCTATGTTAAAATAAAGCAGTCCACTTCCTGTTTTAAGGCGAGTCTGGTGCTGTTTCGTCTTGTATGGCCAGTGGTGGTGTCCGTGGATCTGTGTTCAGACAGGGAAGTGGGAGTCTAACGGAAATAACCTAGTGCAGTCTGGGTCCGGTTCCGTTACATCACTCTTATCTCTATTAATAAAACACAGACCTGACCGAGAGGTGAGGAGGATTCTGGGAGGTCACATGACATCACAAAGACCTGACCGGAGAGGTGAGGAGGATTCTGGGATTCTAACATGATATTCCTATTGGTTCCTCAATACAGAGATTTCCTCCTCTGAAGTTAGGTGATCATATGACCATCACAGTGCCTCCATGTGACTCCCTAAACCCTGAGAGACACAACATGCAGAAGATTCTAGAAGTCACCAGAGAGATCACTGAGCTGCTGACAGGAGAGGTGAGCGGTGCCGGGAATTCTGGGACATTCTCCAGTAACAGACAAGGGATGTGTCTGGATGGTGACTGTATCATTGTGTGTGTCAGGTTCCTATAAGGTGTCAGGGTGTCACTGTCTATTTCTCCATGGAGGAGTGGGAGTATTTAGAAAGACACAAGGACCTCTACAAGGACGTCATGATGGACAATCAGCAGACTTTGGGTTTTGTGAAGATTGTAAGGAAGGAATTTCCCCGGAATGAGACGATATTGAAGCTCACCCTGGAGATCCTCAGCCTGCTGACTGGAGAGGTGAGTGTAATGAAGGGGTTAAATCTGACTCGGCTGTACACTGGGGGGTATTCAGAGTCACTTGAAGTCTTCTGATGTTCTGTAATCAATAACGACATCCACACAAGTACTATGAATACATAAAGTGTCCGGACACTCTATGAGATTTGGTTATAGCACAAGATGGCGGCATTGGTTATAGAAGAGAACAATCTCAGCTTTAGTCCAATCACAGAGACCCATGATCACCAACATGCCACGCCCACTGACCACTAAATCCATTGGTGACATTTCCTGGTGGGTCAGTGAGCCTTACTAGTAAACCATTAGTGACTCTATTATATGACTTCTAGAAGGAGCTATAAAATCTGACCCCATTGTCATCATATCATTGGATGGAGATGTCTGTCCTTTGCTAAGTCGGCACATTGTGGCCAATCCCTGGAGAATAAATCTAGAGCTGACCATAGAAGTGAGGGATTATGGGAGAGCAGGGCACTGCCCAGGGGCCCCTTGATAATCTTGCATTACATGATACCAATTTTCTGGGATAGTCAGTCAAGCTTTTTACCAAGCTGTCCCAGGATGGCCGTGTCCTGGGCAGTGTCCCAGAATCTGGGCTGCGGGTACTTCAGCAGCCTGTCACTAGGCTCCATCTACACTCAGAATGACATCTCCTCTCTCTTCCACTTTGCAGGAGTTAAGGAGCCCTGAAACGGAGCATCTTGCTGCTGCTGCTGCTACTTGTGTGGGTGGGATATGTACAGCTCCAGTCCCCATTGCCCTCCCCTCCTATTCATCCCATGTGATCGGAGCAGTACATATCCTGCCTACAACATGCAGCAGCAGTAGTAAGATGCTCCACCTCTTCCTTAACCCCTACAAAGTGCTGGAACTGTGGGAGGAAGGTACATTTGGGGGGGAGACGTTATTCTGATTGTAAATTTAAAGCAGAACTCAAATCAAACCGTTCAATCTCTTTGGTTTCCTGTTTTTAAGACCGATGGCTGCTCCGCCTCCTTTACTCTCCAGTCACTGGTCTTGGCACATCCCTTCTGTAGTTCTTTCTGCAGGAAGCAGGGATGTCATTAAGCCCCACTTGCAGTGGTGGGCGGACCGAGACTCTCAGACACATTCAACACATACAGGCCTAGTGTAGCCACCCACATTCACCTGTAATTGATGGGAACTGTAGTTTCCTTTTACTGCAGAGAGAGAGGAGCGGATATGATGTCATCCCGGCTGTTACACTCCTCCTTGGCACAGCAGATGATGTTATCTCTTGGGTTACAGAGATGAGGTCATAAAAAATTCAATTAGACTTTTCTCCACAATGGGAGGGATTTTCAACATTTTATGAACTGTTTAGTGTTTTGTGTAGGGGGGTGTACTATTGGGGGGTTTATTGCCTATCCCAGAGTTCTTTAACCCAGTGACAGGCTGTCAGAACAGGCAAGATCTGTGACAGCAGCTTCCCTGTGTTGCTGTGCTTGAGACCATCTCTTCTATATTATACATTACTGCACCTTGTAATGTACCTTGTAACCCCTCTGTACTGTACTCAGCCCTCCATCTATGGTTTCCTGCCCCCCCTGTACTGTACCCCTCCTGCCCCCCCTGTACTGCGACCTCCTGCTCCCTGTACTGTGACCTCCTGCTCCCTGTACTGTGACCTCCCTTCTCTCCTGTACTGTGACCTCCTGCTACCTGTACTGTGACCTCCTGCTCCCTGTACTGTGATCTCCTGCCCCCCTGTACTGTACCCTCCTGCCCCCCTTGTATTGTACTGTGCCCTCCTGCTCCCTGTATTGTGACCTCCTGGTCTTTATACTGTGCACTCCTGGCCCCCATGTACTGTGCACTACTGCCCCCCCTTGTACTGTACTGTGCCCTCCTGCCCCCTGTAGGGATATACTACAGCTCCCTGTACTGTGTGCTACTTAACTACATGCCGCCCAGCCACTGTACATATACGGCAGCAGGGCGGCACTCGCAGGCAAAACCACGTTTTAAAATGTGTGTTTTGTAAACAAATAGGGGGCGCGCTCGAGGCGCGCCGCTGCCCTATCTGTCCCACGGATCACGCCACAGATGTCAGTCGCCGGGTCACAGCCGTTCCTTAGCGGCTATGTCCCGGCGATCGGCGGCAAACAGTGACAGAGAGCACAGATGCAGTAGCTGTGCTGTCTGTCACTTCCCTGTCAGCTCAAGGATGAGCTGATCGAGAAAGAACAGTTCTCTCTCTCGATCAGCCTTGTCCCACCCAGTACACACCCCGCCCCCTAGTAAAACACTCCCCCTCACTCCTATAACCCTTCCCTGCTAAATAAAGTTAACCCCTTCCTCCCCAGTGCCATTAGTACAGTGTCAGTGTTTTTTTTTTTTTTGCACTGATCACTGTATTAGTGTTTTTGGGGATGTCAGTGACCCCAAGTCAGTACCCCCCAATGTCAGAATGTCCGCCGCAGTCCCGCAGTCCAGCCATTAGTCCCTGATCACCGCCATAAATCACTGATCGCCGCCATAATTAGTATAAAAAAAAAAACCTAAAAATCCCCAGTATCTTTCCAGCCATTTGTAAACGCTATAAACTTTCACGTAAACCAATTAATTTACACGTATTGTTTTTTTTTTTAGCAAAATGTCGCAGACACAGCATTTTGGCAGAAATTTATGACTAAATTTGATTTTTGCATTTTTTTTAATGGACATGTTTTTATAGCAAAAAGTCAAAATATTGTTTTTTTTCCTCAAAATTGTCAGCCTTTTTTTTTTATAGACCAAAAAAATATAAACCGCACAGGCGATCAAATACCACCAAAAGAAAGCTCAATTTGTGGGAAAAAAGGATGTAAATTTAATTTATGTATACCGTATTGCATGACCGCGCAATTGTCTGTTAAACTAGCACAGCGCTGCATAGCAAAAGAATGACGTAAATTGCAATATCTATACCCATAGTTTGTAGACGCTATAACTATCACACAAAGCAATCAATATACACTTATTGGGATTTTTTTACCAAAAACATGGAGCAGAATACATTTTGGCCTAAATTTATAACCAACTTTGAGTTTACTATATATATTTTTTATAGCTGAAAGTAAAAAATATTGTTTTTCTTCAAAATTTTTGGCCTTTTTTTGTTTATAGCGTGAAAAATAAAAAGTGCACAGGTGATAAAATACCACCAAAAGAAAGCTCTATTTGTGTGAAAAAAAGGACGTAAATTCATTTGGGTGCAGCATTGCATGACCGCGCAATTATCAGTTGAATTAGTGCAGCACCAAGTAGCAAAAAAGAGGCGTGGTCATTAAGGGGGGTAAATCCTCTGGAGGTCAAGTGGTTAAGTAAGGGGGGTGCTCTTGTACTGTACTGTGCCCTCCACCCCCCCATATGGTGCACTCCTGCTCCCTCTACTGTGCCCTCCACCCCCCATACTGTGCGCTCCTGCTCCCTGTACTATGTCCTCCTGCCCCCATGTACTTTGCACTACTTCACCCCCTTCTACTCCACCCCCCTCCTGTGCACTCCTGCCTCCCTGTACTGTGCCCTCCTTCCCCACCTTGTACTGTGCCCTCCATCGACCTGATACTGATCCCTGCACTCCTGCCCCACATATACTTTTCCCTCCTGGCCATCTCCTCTGTACTGTGCCCTCAATCCCCTCTGTACTGTGCCCTCCTGCCCCCTGTACTGTGCCCACTTGACTCCACCTGTACTGTGCCCTCCTGCCCCCTCTGTACTGTGCCCTCCTGCCCCCCTGTACTGTGCCCACTTGACTCCACCTGTACTGTGCCCTCCTGCCCCCTCTGTACTGTGCCCTCCTGCCCCCCTGTACTGTGCCCACTTGACTCCACCTGTACTGTGCCCTCCTGCCCCCTCTGTACTGTGCCCTCCTGCCCCCCTGTACTGTGCCCACTTGACTCCACCTGTACTGTGCCCTCCACCCCCCTGTACTGTGTCCTCCTGCCCCCACTTCCCCTGTACTGTGTCCTCCTGCCCCCCCCACTTCCCCTGTACTGTGCCTCCCTGCCCCCCCTTCCCCTGTACTGTGCCCTCCTGCCCCCCTTCCCCTGTACTGTGCCCTCCTGCCCCCCCTGTACTGTGCCCTCCTGCTCCCCCTTCCCCTGTACTGTGCCCTCCTGCCCCCCCTGTACTGTGCCCTCCTGCTCCCCCTTCCCCTGTACTGTGCCCTCCTGCCCCCCCGTACTGTGCCCTCCTGCCCCCCCTGTACTGTGCCCCTCCTGCCCCCCCGTACTGTGCCCTCCTGCCCCCCCCATACTGTGCCCTCCTGCCCCCCATTACTGTGCCCTCCTGCCCCCCTGTACTGTGCCCTCCTGCCCCCCGAGCTGTGCCCCCTGCCCCCCGTCCCCTGTACTGTGCCCTCCTGCCCCCCCTGTACTTGCCCTCCCTGCCCCCTTCCCCTGTACTGTGCCCTCCTGCCCCCCCTGTACTGTGCCCTCCTGCTCCCCCTTTCCCCTGTACTGTGCCCTCCTGCCCCCCCGTACTGTGCCCTCCTGCCCCCCCTGTACTGTGCCCTCCTGCCCCCCCGTACTGTGCCCTCCTGCCCCCCCGTACTGTGCCCTCCTGCCCCCCCATACTGTGCCCTCCTGCCCCCCCATACTGTGCCCTCCTGCCCCGCCTGTACTGTGCCCTCCTGCCCCCCCCGAGCTGTGCCCTCCTGCCCCCCCCCGAGCTGTGCCCTCCTGCCCCCCGTACTGTGCCCTCCTGCTCCCCCTTCCCCTGTACTGTGCCCTCCTGCTCCCCCTTCCCCTGTACTGTGCCCTCCTGCTCCCCCCTTCCCCTGTACTGTGCCTCCTGCTCCCCCTTCCCCCTGTACTGTGCCCTCCTGCTCCCCCTTCCCCCGTACTGTGCCCTCCTGCTCCCCCTTCCCCCTGTACTGTGCCCTCCTGCTCCCCCTT